GATAGTCCGGGATTTCGTTTCGTGCCAGTGGTGTTTTGCTCGCAGTGCTAAGGAAGAACGCCGTATGAACATTCGAGAGTTGCCAAATTGCCTTCGATAAAATGTTTATTTTTGCGGAACGTTATGATTATTTTTCCGTGGAATTTTCAGGCACTTCAGGTGAAATTGCGAACAAAATCATTTGAAGAATTGGAAGAAAAATATTTATAAGTGTACCAGGAAATTCGTGTTTCATCCAAGGAAATTTGGCAACGCCTGAGGGTTCATACGGCGTTTTTCCCTAGCACGGCAGAGTTGGTCTTGAAGCTACCAACCAATGAGCTTTAATTTCCCGAGTGCATCAATTTTGTCGCCATTTCCGTGTGAATTTTAAACTTTTTGGAATTTTCCCACTTACAGCTACTGTAAAACTACGGAAATACTCTGTTCATAAGGCTCTGCATTCTTAGGGAAGCATCGAAAGAGTGCTGTAGAAGTACCGGTTTTTTGCCATTCAGTTTTAATAGACACCTCGGCATTTTTTTTTACACTTTGCGACTGGGTTTTTGAAAATGAAGCCATCCATGCCCTTCTAAATCTTTCCATCGGGCGTCCGAATTCCGGAAGTTTTACAGTCTTCAAATTTTAGAAGAGAAGGTACCAAGCTTATGGAGAACGTTAAGGTCCGTTATTGTTTAGCTTAATTAATAAACGCACTTTCTCACGTTCTGGAAATCTGTCTCCAACGAAAACAGGGGAAAAGGCCGAAAGATTAGATAGTAAACTCGAATGAGATTGGCTCCTGTTCGAATCCTCTCTGCTTGCGATCGTGTTGCATGCATCCGGTGAAGCGCAGTGGCGACCTTTGATGATAGCTATGTAAATTTAACACGCCTGGGATTTTGATCACTCCGTACTTGCACTTTTTTTTTATTTCTTGTTGTTTATTTCAACCGTGAAACAAAGAAGCGTGTATTTCTCAGTTTAGCTTGTCAGCGTGTGGAATTTTTTAAAATTATATTTCACCTCTTTGGATAGACGACCAATCACCTTCATTCCACTTAATTTTTGAGCGTCATCATAAGAATCTCAGTAGTTTTCAGCATTGTTAAATTATGAAGGAAATTCAGTAAAAGTTTTAACGAATACCCTGCATGTGCCTTAATAGTCATAAAACGTTAACGAAGAAATACCCTTTCCGTACGCAGCACTTCAGTTATGCGAAAATGAGCTATGTGCAAATGAAAAAACAAAAAACAAAAAAACCAAATGAATTGTATAGCCCGCAAATACTAGCCGTTAACCCAATACTGACTCAGTTCATTTTCGAGTATAGTTCCATTTCACATCAATATATACGTCCAAGTATACAAATTAGAATCTCTTTTTTTTCAATTAGTTTTTTTCTGTGTGGGTTCCTTCTTGCCGATGTGAACTTGGTCCAATTGTTCTCTCTTGAGCAAGTTTGACCTTGCCCAGAAGCTGGTATTTTTGCAAGAGCAAGGATTGACCAACTTTTAAACATAAGCGCACGGTATGGAGCAGCTCCACAGCTTGACAGTCTCCTTCTAGTCCATGCAAACAAGGAAAAGAGCCTGCAAAAATCCCGGGTAGCAATGTTTTCATCGATTCCCATGTAATTTTTGACGCTGAATCCAAATTTCCACCAAATTTTCGCTCATTTTTCAAAGTTTGGAGCCCGCCAGCGCGTTTGATTTTGCCTTGAGCAAAAAAGTGTTTAGGAACTTTTTTATAGAAAATTTAACGAGCTTTATTTCCGAAAATAACCAATTTTATCGTCAGATCAATTTTTGGCAAGTTACAGGCCATAATCCGGAAAAAAGTCCGATTTTAGGCCATTTTTGCCAAATTTGGCAACTTTCTGGTCCGGATTTAATGGCGCAAAGTTGAAATTCGGATTCATTGTCAAAAATTACATAGGAATCGATGAAAATATTGCTACCCGGGATTTTTGCAGGCTATAGCCCTTTTCATGGCTTATTTGCCTGGACTATTCTTGCTCACTGCACGAAAGCGAGCGTAATTTTGAAGTGAGCGGCAACCGTCACCATCATGGCGAGTAGAGACAACTATTGTCGCCTCTGGCGTGGTGGCGCCCTATAAACATTGAAGTAACTTCTCATCGTCCACGAATGTTGCCTGTCGAGGTCTTTTGACCTCCCTCCCCCCCCCCCCCCCCCTTTATAGATATAGAGTCAGCTCATTACTTTTTGCCGCTCTCCGTTACGTGTTTCTAAGTTGACTCGAATAAATGCACTCATTCAAACTTGTCATCGTATGTCCAACTTGAGCGCCCGATTCGTTTATCAAAGAAGATCAAGGTTACCAGCCACTCAATTTGTTTTTCCTTTTTTTTCATTTTTCTGTCTTTTCTATATTTCAATAAAGAACGTTGAGCTGATTCGAACGCTGTATAGGTTAATTTACTTTTTACTTGAGAAACAATTTTCAAAATATTTCAAACACGTGTAAATCAGTAGGAAAAGGCCGTGCAGTACTCTTTTTTTGTTTTCGCGCTCCTGAAAAGTCGGGTTTTTTCGACTTTAGGTTCACTTTTCTCAGGAACTACTGAAGATATGTGAATTTTTTTTATTTTAAAAAGACCAGTAGTAAAGCAAGTGCTTTTTGTAGAACCAGAATAATAGCCTTGCAAGTTGCAATTGAGCAAATGTGTATTTTCTGTATAATTTCAAAACCATAAAAAAATAAGTGTTTTTCTAAGGAAAGTCCCACTTCATGAAAATCACACATAAAGTTTACCTCGATATCCTCGACACTCTTTCATTAACGTTCTTAAAAGCTGCGAAGATTTGATGAACATTACATCTCTATTCTTAGCAGCTCATAATTAATTGCAGCGTATATTATTGGCAGTTTCCTAAGTAATTGTCTCGATAAGGAGTGAAAAAAAATAGTATTGCTGCATCGGCACTTTGCGGCGCACTGTGGATCGAGTCAATAGGAGAGGTCGGACAAAATTTGGAAACTTTAAAAGCTTATAACTCCGTTTATATAAAACTTTGAGGTTCTGATAGTGGTTCCATTGGTTTCCTAGTGAAATTTTTATTTATCAGCACCCCTTGTTTAAAAATGTGACGAAATAAACATCAAAATTTGCAGTTTTAGTCAAAAATTTCATGCCCGACCTCTCAAATTGACTCGATCCACTATGCGGCGCGGCGTTCATAGTAATCGGAGCACGCCCGACTCGGCCATCGCTAGGTGCATCTCTAGACAAAATCGTCTCTAGACATAGTTATTTCCCAGTAGACGTCGACACGAGAAAACGGAAGAGTGCGTGATCATTTGCGGAGAGTACATGCCAGGCAGAATTCACTTCGCTGCATTTTAAAGTCGACCTTTATTGGGGGAAACCTCGGTCAAAAGAACAGTTTAATGGAGATGTTGCAAGTGTGAGGGATTTGAGATTTGACCATTGATTCTTATGTAAAAGTTTGCGAGAAACACGATGGTGCGACTGGTTTTCTCTGAAATCATCTCCCAAGCTCGAAAAAAGCTCTCAAAGTTAGGCCAAAATGGCGGGGATATCCCACCCTATACCCTGAGAGTCCATCTCTACATCAAAACAAGCTCTCCATGCAAAGATAGGGAGCAAATACATTGACAGGGCTGCCACTTTATTTGGAGACTCGAAAACTGAAAACACGGTAACCCTGCCAATGTATTTGCTCCCTATCTTCATGGAGTTTGTCTTGATGTAGAGGTGGACTCTCAGGATAGCGCGGGATATCCCCTCCATTTTGGCCTCACTTTGAGAGCTCTTTTTGAGCTTGGGATATGATTTCATAGAAAACCAGTGGCACCATCGTGTTTCTCGCAAACTTTTACATAAGAATCAATGGTCAAATCGCAAATCCCTCACACACGCAACATCTCCATTGCCTGAAGGAATAATTTTTGAGGGGGCCGGAACTCTCCTTGTTTGGATAAGATTCTTATTACGACAATCATAAGCTCATTGGAACAACGGGAATTCCGGTCCTCTCTTGAATTAATCTGGAATTTATTAACTCGACATCCCCACCGGCGCTTTGGGAAATCGTTCCTCACATGGTTCGGGCGACTGCTCCCATTTCCAAGAAAAATCCCTAATTCTTCCGAGAGAGTTCCCGGACTTTTTCTAGGAATCCCGGTGCCCATTCCTGATACTCAGTTTTCCCGGGAAACTCGATTCAAATAAGGACAGCCCGACTTTAATTTCACGATTTACGACGACTTTTTACCAAAGTGTGGCGTACTTTGCGATGTAGCAATTAATCCAACATTCAAGCCTACACTGCCGTGCTAAGCAAGAACGCCGTTAATCCATCAAGATTTTCCCTCGTTTTTTGGAACTTAACAGTTTATAAAATTAAAACTGTTTTACTCATGCACCTCAAAATTTCCGGTTAAGTTGTTGATAATGTTCGTGAAAAAAACCTGTAAAAACATTGTCCCAAGGTACACAAGTTTTTCTGCTGTGATACATTGATTCCAAAAATTGTAAACTGGCGTTTACGGCGTTTTCGTATTGCTCGGCAGTATAGAGGAGGGTCGATAGACAGGATGTTTGCAACGAACACCGTATCAATCGATTCTTGACCAGAGTTTCAAATGGGTAGATATCGATAATCGATCATTGACGCCTCGCCACGACTTTTTACCCCACTCGCCATTGTGGTCGCAAGAAACCAGTGGCGAGTCGTGAATGATCGATTATCGATATTTCTCCATTTGAAGCTATGGTAAAGAATCGATAACTAAAGTGTTCACTGCGAACACCCTGTTTATCGATCCTTTCCCATAGGTTTAAATGGCATAACAATCGATATATCGCAATTCACGCCACGCCACTGCAAGAAACATCTTGGATGCCCATTCCTAGCTGGTTAATCGCTGATTCTCAACCGTTATATAATTAATTATTTTTAATGTTATAATTATATTTTAATTGTTTAATATGATTTATAAGTTTTATAATTTATAATTTTATGTTTCAGGGAAGATGAGGACCCGGAGGATGAAAAAGAGAAGGAAGAAGCGGGAGAGAACGAGAAGGCTGAGGTGGTCATAGGAATAAACGGAATGAAATGTCAGTCATGCGTTCGGAAGATCACCTCAAATCTCATGGACAAAAAAGGAGTGTCAGAAGTTACAGTAAGCACCTTCGCTCTTTCTCCAAACTGTCAAACGTGTGTTTTTCTTCCAGTCTGTCGGCTGATTATTGATTTTGTTAGACAAAGAAGTAGACAAGGAAGGCAAACTGAAAATAAAGCGATCCTATTGGTGGAGGCGGGTGGTTGCAATGGACGAAGGAGGTAAGTGATAGACTAACTAGCGACAACCCACTAGAAACCCTGTAGTTAGTCTATCATTTTCCCCCTTAGCCTATAACAAGCACCCGTTTGAACAAATAGGAGTAATCCATGTCTCCTGTGTCTTCTACACCTAAAATAGCTTTGTCTATAAATTTCAAAAATCAGCCCGCCGTTTAGATACAGACCAAGTGGAATGACAGTGAGCTCAAATTATAAAAATCCACCAAGTCGTATCAAGTTTAAATGCCGGAAAAGAGGTTTAAAGTTTTAAAATACCCCCGTTAGGCTCTATGCTAAAGGTGAATTTTAAGGACAGCTTACTCGCCAAGAATATTTTTTCTTGAGTTTGAATTTTATGAGAGGATAGAAACGATGAGTTGGATTGAAAACTTTTCCCAACTTATTCCCCTGGTAAAAATTGGCAGTAGAATGTGTGTTCCAAAATACTATAGACCTAAAGCCGGCTGTAAGATTTCCAATAGCTTTTGTAGCCAGCTGTACAATTTCTTATAGCCTTTTATAGCCGATGGCGATTAAACAACAGCCAGACGATAAAGTTTATGCTAAACGTTACTAAATACGGATACTAGGACTTAGTTAGTTTTTGGACTACCGCTCTCTTTTTGTGCCGCAGTATCTTGATTTATTTTGCGAGGGAAGCTCCGTACTTTTGAAGGATGCCTGTCATTCTTAATATGTTGGAGCGCCTTCAATTTCGTATGATACTGTGCAATACATCTGGTGTGAAATAGTTGCTTCAAGCGCCGTGGCACGCTATGCGGCGCGGCGGGAGGGCAGAGAGCGCAATGCGCAATGCGTGAAGTATCCCTGTTAGGTTTGTAGGCGCCAGTGCGTCGCCGCTCTGCTTTGTCTAATATTTAATCTCGCGGAGTCAGCGTTTTTCAACTCATGATTTTGAAATGTTTGCACACTGTGTGTGGACTATTCTCATTTTAATTGATGAAAAAAAAATATGTTTTAAAGGAAAATATAATGTGTGTTTTGTAAATATTAAGGTAGTTTCGTATCAACCTCAATGATTTCCAAAGCACACGAATTTCTACACAATTTCTTATAGCCTTTTATAGCCAATGGCGATAAAGTGTAAAGCCCGGCGATAGGATCTGTAGCTCGACTGTATAGGTACTTTTTATAGCTTCGTATAGCCCGGCTGAATGATTTGCTCCGCTTTCTACAGCCAGCTATATGATTTTCAATAGCCCTCTTTAGACGGTTATAAAAACTCCTATGGTATTTTGAAACGCAGCTCCTATCGCCAATTTTTACCAGGATCGTTTTCATAACTCGACTTGGTGCATTTTTGTCGAACTTGGTCCAACTGGGACACTATAGTATGCAGGGTGAGAACTTAATACCTTGCCCTGATAAAAAATAGTTAAGACGGTGCGGACTGGTCGAAAAATTTCCTAATCCATTTAATTATTTGTAAAACACCGTGAGTCGATTTTCGGTGAAAAGGTCTATAGGTCTATCAAATTCGACCCTCTGATTTGAGTCCAAAATGAAATGCATTTTTTATTTTTGGAATAAGAAGAGGTATAGTGATTGCAGCCAAGTCCACAAAGTTGCTCTGTCTTGTAGATCAACTTCACTAAACTTTTCTGACAGTATCTATTTCCCCCTCCACTCGGTCACAAAAATTATTACTTTCTCGCGGGAAAAGCTGACCCGGTCGCGCTATGCTTGTGGTCGCCTGTCAGTTTCTCATATTTACCTTGTAATATGTTTCCGTCAAGCATATAAATCATGTATAAGTATAATCATTCATAGATTCTCGATTAATTTCGAATATGGAAGCACGAAACATCCTACCGTTCAGCGTCCCGAATTTTTAATGCAAATATTTACTCTAGAACTATGTCGGCAAGACCACTGTTTACTTAGTTGTTACTTCTCCCTGGTTCGAACCATGTGCTGTTAAAAATTATCCGATTAAATTTTTTTCATGGTCGCCGGTCATACCGTAGGTACACAGATGTTCTCTATCTATTCAACTCTTGAAATTTTCTTCGTAAATGAAAAAAAGGGAGACGAATAGAGAAAGAAGAAGAAGAAAAAATCACCAATTACTCTGAGTGCCCGATAACGTAATAGTTCATAGTTGTTCACATATAACGTGGTTATTTGAATTATATGTAATTACTTACATTTTCCCCATAATCATAATCAATTGCTTTGTCAAAATACATAGATAAAAAATAGCGTTAGTGGTTACTAGATACCCGGTTTTTATGACCTGAAGGAAATCTCGTAGATAGTACCAGATTTTCTGGAGATCATATCGATGACCATGGTGTGAAACCATTTATCTCCGTTTGCGACTTTACAGGCTCTCCGTCAAAATGTATTTCTTCTTTGGAAAACTAGTCAACGTAATTTCACGCATACTCCCGTAAATTCTTTTCTGTTTGCAGAATAATCTGTACAAATAAGCTACACAATTTATTTATTGCTTCTCTTCGAAAAGGTAAAATACCGGACGTTTGAAACATCGCAATGGAGATATGTGGTTCCGCACTGAAGCCATGGATGTATGTAGAAGCAGAAATCCAGTAGACCAGTAACCATCGACATTTTGTCCCCGTGTAGCACCTAAAGTTTATCCGCGACAGATGGATGAAACTCTGCAGGTCCGAACCGGGTCGATTAAAAAATTGAAGCTGGTCGGGCACACAGACCAACATGTGTTTTTCGACGCCTCGTCTCTTGAGAGCTTTCTAAATGTTGATCATGTTGATCAAATGTTGAGGAACCCTCCTCTGCCGTGCTAAGGAAGAAAGCCGTATGAACTTTCAGACATTGCCAAGTTTCTTCCAATAAAAACCGAATTTACTGGGAAAATTGTGAATATTACCCCCCAAAATTTTTAGACAATTTCGTTCGCACTTTAATCTAAAATATCTGAAAATTTCAAATATAAATGTGCATGAATGTCGTCAAAAATACATGTTTTATCAAGGGAAATTTGGCAACTCTCGAATGTTCATACGGCGTTCTTCCTTAGGACGGCAGTACTGCCGTCTTAAGGAAAAACGCCGTATGAGCCTTCAGGCATTGCCAAATTTCCTTCGGGAAATCACGAATCTTCGCGGAAATTTGTAAATACTTTTCCTCCAATTTTCCAGATAATTTTGTTCACAATTTCACCTGAAGTTCGAAAATTTCAAGGAAAAATAGCCATGACTTCCTTCAGAAATAATCATTTTATCGAAGGAAATTTGGCAACTCTTGAATGTTCATACGGCGTTTTTCCTTAGCGCGGCAGTCTACTCCACTCGACGGCGGCGACGTTTCCTGTTGTTTCGGTTCGCACGGATCGAGGTGGTCGCTTGATAAACTCAACGAGCTTAACCTGAGATAAAGGCAGCGCATCGATCGATAAATCGTTATCGATTTATCGAATGAACTCGATGGATAACTCCCTATCTTCGCAGTGCTTTATATCGATCAAGGTCATTCGATAAGGGTTCAACAGTCGACTCGGAGGGCTTAGTGCGGGCGCGGGCGGTCGTAGAACTTACACCCACCAGTATCGTGATCGCTAGCTTAACTTTCCCTTTCTGGATAAAAGTCCGTTGACCACGACCCAAAAATGGCAAAAACCCTGCAGTTTTTGATTGGAACATGCCGCTTTCAGGGCTCATTGGCGGTACTTGCAGGAGTAATTGAGATGTTGCATGTGTAAGGAATTTGCGATTTGACCATTGATTCTTATGTAAAAGTTCGCGAGAAACACGATGGTGCCACTGGTTTTCTTTGAAATCATCTCCCAAGCTCAAAAAAGCTCTCAAAGTGAGGCCAAAGTGGAGGGGATATCCCACGCTATCCTGAGAGTCCACCTCTACATCAAAACAAACTCTCCAACCAGTTTCTGCCAATTTAAAATTAGTAATTCCATCGATGAATTTATAAAAAGCTGCCTATAATCATGTGTCTCCTTAAATTTCGGAAATTTTTTTCAATATTTTATTTGCCAAAACATGTAAAAGCAAGAATCATGAAAAAACTACTCAGAATGACGTTATGAACTTTCTAACTTCAAAGGCTAGCTTGTGAAATTTTTATCTGATAGGAAAATTAATCTATTGAATAGAAGGGATTTTAACTAAAAAATTCCTAGTCGGTATCCTGAAAAATTGCTTAATTTTTTGTATTAATTTTTTGGGTTTCAGGTCAACCTAGAAGATAGAAACGCAAGGATATCATTTAACTCTAAGGTGACAAACCGGGAGCAGCTTAGAACCTATGTAGAGGAATTAGGTTTTGAAGCATCCTTACCAAAGGAAGATTTGCAAACGATTATAGGCATTTCAGGAATGAAATGTCAATCCTGTGTACGAAAAATCGAGTCAAACATATCAGAAGTGCCGGGAGTGAAATCTATTAAAGTAAGTCCTCTATAGAGCAGCAAGTATAAATAAACTTCAACAATTAAATTTCCTCATAAACCAAATAAATGGACTACATTTTGCAAATAGGAACTTCAATTTCTGGCTCATCCGCAATAACACTTATGTACTAACTGTTAGTAAATTATGTGTTAGCACTTATGTAAACTAATGGTACATACGTTGTTACTAAACTGAGCCAGAAATTGTCATTCCCAATTGCAAAGTTTACAAATATTCATGAGAAATTATCCTTAACAGGGTGACATGTTCTTGGAGAGTCAGGGTAAACTTGTTAAAGTCAGGGAATATTGCTCAACGTTTAAAATTCATGGAATGCTGCAGAACCTTGAAATTCCTTTCAGCATTTTCAAATTTTTAAAAGAATATTTCTCACTATTTTTTAACGATGCTCGTCTTTTTACGTACCCACTGCTTCCCTGTATCAAAGGACAATGCTTTTTTCTGCTCTTTATTTAAAGTCTGCTTTTAACGGTTATGTTTCAGGTAAATTTAGATAAAAGGATCGGTATTATCTCATACGACCCTGAGCTCACGGACCCAGAGCAAGTTAGACAAGCTGTAGAAAATCTAGGATTTGTAGCAACATTGCCTGACTCACCGGAGCATGAATGCTTAATCGAAATTTTAGGAATGAAATGCAATAATTGTGTTCAAAATATAGAAGGTAAAATTTACTTTTATTTATTTGCGTAATACTGTGATAACAGAAATAATTTTTCTTCTTAGAATCCTCTGTTTTTTCAAGCTTTGAAGTTGATTTGTTTCTCTTTAAAAAAAATAAAATAGAAGTGAAAATTTTGAGACATTGCAATGGAGATACATGGTTTTTCACTTTGGCCGTCGATATTTTGCTTAAAAGTAGAGGGTGTATCATCTCAAAACTGCGCAAATTAATTATAAAATAATTAAGGGAACAATCATTAAATTAAATTAAAGAAATACAATTCTATATTAAAAACTTTTCACCACTTACCCCAAGAGTTATGGGAGTTTCCCGGCTTTGACACCATACATATCTGGTATATCCACCTTAATTATTATTTCCGCCGCAGCTTTAATAACTCTATGCTCTGAGTCTTTACTGATTCTCTCTGAAAGCTATTAAAACAATAGAATAACTGAGGCAAATGGAAGAGGCAATGAGAGGATTGTAAACTTACACAGGAAACCACAACTCTTGATAAAAAATCTAGCAGGCATAGAACGGTCACTCATTCTGTTTAAAACTCATGGTGGTCTAGTTTTTGCTTTAATTTTCTCTCGGTTAAAGAAATGTTTTGTTTGGCGATTCATTGAATTATTTTTGATTATTCGTTGATTTAAGTAGGAATTAGGTCAGATGTGTTTTATTAAGGAGTGGAACATTGAGACTAGTATTCAACAAGGACAAAGCATCCTCAAGAATTAAACACTTTTGAACCTCGAAGTACCACTCCTGTGATAAAATAAATTTATTCAACTGCATTTAAATCAGGTTTTTTTCTTTTGTTTTTTGTTTTCTTTCTTGAATGTTCCCCGATTTCAATGCATCTTGTTCTCAACGCATAACTCTGGTTTTGCCTGACAGAACGTCTCTAGCTACATTTGTTTGTCACTATCTTTCATGAAAAAATGGGTGAGAAAAAATCTAACCTATGATTTTTTAAAAACCAAATGTTGTCTTTAGCTTTTTCCCCCTGTAAATTCTTCAAATCAGGTTTTATATGTTCAGTCTACAATTTATCATTTGTTAGGAATAATCAGTCATGAGCAGGGTATCTCTAAAAAAAATTTTCTTCCTTTTTTTCTTGTCTCTAAACCACTTCATGACCCTGTAAAGTCTTAGACTTAGCTGCTCTGCGACCTCCTCTGGTCATTTTGAGCAATGTAACTGCAGCGTAAACACTCGTGTCTGGTTATAATGAGCAGTCTTGCGGTCACTATGTTGAGTTATGGCAGTGAGATAAAAATTGATACGTTACCATGAATTTGCTGCGCTGGGCTCAAATATATCACGCGTCCTAGTTATTTTGTCCTAAATTTTGCTGTTCTTCATAGTTGCATTTATAGCAGCGCACGCACAAAAATTTGTAAACAGGAAAAGAATGTTTTATTTTATTCTAATTATCTAGCATTTGCACTAGAGGTTACATGGTCATCAGATTTATCTGTGTCAATGAGGGGTTTTCTTGACCAAAAACTGCAATATGAGCCACCTACCTAAACAAACAGATGTTTGCTCGAACGAATTATCTAAGAAGTATAAACTTCTGTCACTCCACCTGTGTTCATCATCTAGAGGAAAAGCAGCTTTATCAGCAATTAAGGTTTATTAGTTAATAATAAATGCAGTTAAATTAATGTAGTATTACATCGAAATCACTGTAGACAAATAAATGTGTACATAAGAATGAGGCAAGGACCTCAAAGTATATTGAGGTGTAAAATATGCCAGGACATCCTCTTCAATACAGCATTCAGAATCTAGATATTTCTTTTACTGTTAGATGGATTCAACTAGAATCAATCTAACTGAATTTCATGTTGGCCAATGTTCCCTCATGTTCTATTTTTTTATCTGTGAAATAAACTCCCTCATGCTTTTACACTTCTCATAAATTTATTCTAGGTTATGAAGAATATCGTCACAAAATTAAAGTTTCCGTGTTGTTTAGTTTTCTGTTTAAAAGATGAAACACAGGAAAAAATCTGGCACAGTTTGACATAGTAAGGGAAATTTTGGTTACATCTGCCCAATTGGATTCTCAACGCATTTCATAAAGCCTTGAACATACTTTACATTGACCACGAGAGTATAAATTGCTCAAGTTTTTTGTCACAGTTTTGCACTTTGACAGTTAATTGCTGCTTCTTATCCTGTTCTTGTGGATCAACGCTTTTTTAATTGTGCTTTTCTTCTTCTTATCAAATTTCTTCTCTCTCCCTATTTTGCAGGAAAACTGAAAGAAAAACAGGGTGTGAAAGATGTCAAAGTTTCTTTGGAACAGAGAAATGCCACCTTTACATATTTTCCGGACGAAGTCACGCCAGAAACCTTAGTCAAGTACCTTTGTGATATGAACTTCAACGCTTCTCTATTGGAAGTCAATGGAGTCACCCAAAATAGTTCAATTCAAGGTATGTGCGTGGCCACGTTTTAATTTAATCTCTAGTTTTCAGAATCCTGTGAAAGTGTGCACTAATCACACTACAATTAAGAAATCTTTATTGAAGTAAGATAGGCTTTCTAGAAGGAAGATTAATGGCTTAAGAAAAAAACAAATGATCCAAGGCAATGTGCAATGGTATATCGACGGTGCAAGTCGGCAATCACATAACTCGGTTTGCGACGTCGCAGACTTCCTGTCATACTTTATTTTTTTAACGGAAAACTACTCAACGGCAATTCTTTAAAACTGCCGCGATTTTTCCTCTCAATGCGAAGAAAATTCTGCAAAAACTTCAAGAAATAATGTCAATTTGTTCTCTTTTAAAAAAATGACGTAGAGGCGGAGATTTTCAGACACCGCAAACGAGTTATGTGATTGCCGACTTTCACCGTCGATATTCCTTCTCTAGTCTCCACTGCTTCAACCGTACTAGCTGACAGCTGGCAGGACTGGTTTTGTTTGCTGTAGCTTGACCCTATCTAGCTGCACTTCAACAAGCAGGAATCAGCCATAACCTCTTTCCATGGACTGGACGTTGCTCAGTATTTGGTCAAAGTAGAATTCAGTTTTTCACATCCTTTCACTGTACCCCATTTTCACGGGTAGTAGTGTGTGCCTTTCTTTTGAAAACAAAGTTATGCCAGTTGGAAGTTTTGCAATGAAAACATTATTTTCTCCCAAAATGAATCAGCAGCTTCAAGCTTTTTTTTTCTTTTTTCTTGTACATTTCAAATGCAACAAGTGCACAGTATCCTCTGAGTCTCACTACTGAAAGTAATTGGTTGCAGTCAAGAAGTTTTCAATAAAGTGAGTTCATGTGCTTTCACTAAGTGGTTGTATCGACCTAAAAATGTCATTGTATTTTATTCTACCATAGGAACTAGTCTCCTCGTTTTTAACGCTTAACCCTTCGAAAAAAACAGCCGAGTATACTTGCAGTAATTTTTATGCGTAATCCAATAATGCAACATGTTTGTTTTCCTTTGATTGCAGAAAAAAATTCAGATAAAGTGGGTAATGGCAACCATAATAGTAGTTTGCATATCCCCATAGATGATATGATGAAAGGGGAAAAGTGCCTTTTACATATTAAGGGAATGACCTGCGCATCCTGTGTAGCTGCCATAGAAAAACATTGTTTAAAAATGAAAGGTAAGTACAAATTTGTGGCCTTGATCAGTAAAAAAATTTAAACAAGTCTCTCTGAGTTATTTCCTCCGCAAGCATGCTGCAGCACTTGGTAACCTAATATGATGCTGGTTTCATTGGAGATTCAGTGAGCATTATCTATCACACTCAAGATAATGTATACTATTATATGAATGAATCAATACATAGATTTGTTATAAGGAGTATAATTTGGACGTATTTCTATCAAGCGGACCTAAGCGCCATAGGGTGAGGAAGGTAGAGGGGGCGCTTGGATTGGCGGCGGAATCGGGCGTCCGGCTTATTCCGTCCTATAATCGCAATGCTTTTCCATGGCGCTTAGTTCCGTTTGATAGAAATACGTCCATTTTATACCTTGAGAAGTGGAACATTTCTTGTAAAAAATTTTAATGAACATCTCAGTTTGTCTCTTTTCAGCTCTTATAGAACACACTCAGCATAACAAAAATAACTGAAGTCAACTCTTAACTGAGATAATGATGTTTTTAGTATACATTGGTTGTGGAAATTTCTAATTCTCCGCTTATAAGAAAAACAAATCAAAACCCTACAACGGTTTGGGCGTATTTTATAATCAATCAATGTTCCTTTCCTGCCCTGCATTGTTCTAAGTATTGACAGTGTAGAATACTTAAGTCAGAGCATCAAGATTGAGGTTGCCATATCATCTCACCGTAGAGACTGTTAGGGCTGACTCAAATAGACTTTTGCTTTTTCATGAACGGAAGGTTTGAATTTATGTATTAGAAACGTTAAATAGCCAAAATTCGGGACATGCCCGCTTTTAAAAAGTCCAAACTCTTGCAGGAATTTCAAACTCGCCAAAATGGTCAGAAAATGATGGATGTAACATACTACGGCAGTCAAATCGTTATCTCCTCTCATTTTTCACTCAAGCTTGTTAAAATAAAATGTATTTCAATGTAGAATTGTTGCTTGTTTACAACTCATGATAAATCATAATGAATGACTCGATTCTTTTAATCTGAGGATATAATTTCGACTTTCATATTGTTTTCATACAAGAGGAGTAGAAAGACATATGGACGTATTTCTATCAAACAGATTTATGTGCAGGTGAGAAATGTGGGGTGTGCTCGTCAGTTTTCTGACCTTAAGAGTGAATGAGAATAATGAAGCGCCAGTGACATCAATGGAAATGGATGTTGTCGTCGTGGCTCCTTGTAGTGCACTTTAACTCATGAGCCCTGTCCACAACGCTCTTGTGCCATGCCCGCAGCTCATATATCCTGCATTCAGTTGGCACATAGTTCTGTTTGCTGAATTTAAAATCCCGCCTTTCCAATTCTTCAAAAGGAATCACGCCCACTGACCACATTGTTTCTTATCCACCTTTCTAGAGCACATTTCATATTTCTCACCTGCACATAGTTCTGTTTGATAGAAATACGTTTATTTGATGGAGGTCATAGAAACCTGTGCTCGCTTCTGATTGGTGCCAGATGACATCATTAGGATCGGCACAAAATCAGGGCGTTTTAAATTTGCAAAAAAGGTGCGCTTCTTGAACTGCGCATTTCTCGGTTTCTGAGTTACAGTTTTGCAAGTTTAATGCACGCATCAAGTTCTATGCGTCATTTACCTCCAGAAATATATTTTCGCAATTCAAAAGTTGCTCATGGTTTAGTTATTCATTGGTTTAGAGGCATCATTACTAATGTGTGTCCATTAATTTGCTTCTTTTTCAAGGTGTGAATTCAGTTCTAGTCGCTTTATTAGCAGCAAAAGCCGAGATCCAATATGATCCAACATTAATACAGCCTGACGCCATAGCCAACTCCATCACAGAATTGGGATTCCCAGCTTCAGTCATGGATAGCAGTAATATGACGGATAGTAAAGTTGAATTAAAAGTAAGTCCACAATGTGGAATTTCATGCATGTTTTTTTTTTCTTTCAAGCGCTCAGCCT